TTAATAACCACATGATTAGAAGCATTTCATTACAGCATTAACATATTCAATAACAATTTCCAGAGCAAAGATGCTTCTCTTTCAAAATTAGCTGAGGCAGATTTTTTTTAAATATCAATTCTAATCCCTCATATCCCATTCAAGGAAGTACTGTTAACTTTTTGGGATAGGCCTTTCCAGGCACATATACATACATATAAATGTTAAACTTAGGGGCTGAGAATGTAGCTCAGTTGATAAAGTGCCTGCCTAACATGCTTGAAACCCTGGGTTCAATCCCTAGCACTTCATAACCAGGTGTGGTGATGCATGTCTATAATCCCAGCATTTGGGAGGTAGAGGCAGGAGGATCAGAAGTTCAAAGTCATCCTTGGCTGCATAGTGAGTTCAAGGCCAGCCTGGGTACATGAGACCCTGTCTCAAAAAGAAAAAAAAAATTTTAAATGGGGTCCTTTTACAGGGTTATAATCTGTTGCTTTTTTTTCCCCCTCACATAAAAGTATATTGTGACATTTTTTTTTAACCAAACTGGGAGCACTATTGCAGTTTTGACTTTTCCCCTTTTTCTCTTCACTTAACAGACCACTTGTCATTTCCTTTCCTTCTGGCCCCTTCATGTCTCTTGAGTTCTCAGTCCTTTCCTTCCCTTTTCTTCCCACTTCCTCCCTAGATGGAGAGCTCCTGGGATGCTGAGGCTCCTTCTTCACTGGAAGATCATATGGTCCCCTGTCTGTACTCTACTTTCCCCACAGGAAACTTTTGGCCTCAAGAGAGTCTGGCCAGGAGCCCTGGGGTTGAGGAGTCTGCAGGACCTTCCCCCACCACAGTGGCCCTGTTGTGCATGTGGCCTTTCCTTCCCGGGAGCCCAGAGCTGCCCACTCCCCCACCATTTACATAGCCTCCATCCTGGGCATCAGGCCTGGTGGGGGACCTCACAGCATTGTGTCCACAGGTACCCTTTCCCACCATGGTGGCTTTGCTGTGTATGTGGTTCGGGATCTCCCTGCCTCTCGTCTACTTGGGCTACTACTTCGGCTTCCGTAAGCAGCCATATGACAACCCTGTGCGCACAAACCAGATTCCCCGGCAGATCCCTGAGCAACGGTGGTACATGAACCGATTTGTGGGGTGAGTCTTTCAGCACAGATAAACAGGCTTCCAGAGAAGGTGAGGCCAGTGCTTCCTGAGCCATCGGGGACATGGAAGAGGCTACTACCACCACCCCCCAGGGCTCTGTGACCAGTGCCCCTGCAACAACTGCAAGTGCACTAGTAGATGTCATGCAAGCTTAGCCTCACACCATGATAAAGAAGACCAAGCTTCTGCAGATTTGGTTTCAGCCTAGGAACCTGAAAGGGAAGCAGGGAGATTTTTATGGTCCCACAGCATGGAGAATGTGGCCGAGTTTAAGACCATCACTTATCTCTGCTGTAGCTCAATGATAGAGAAGTACCTAGCCTACACAAGGCCCTAGATTCAGTCCTCAGCACTACCAAAAGAATAAAAAAGCCACATGAAATAATTGTATTTAAAACTTTGTTTAGGCTGGGCGTGGTGGCATATGCCTTTAATCCCAGCTCTGGGGAGGCAGAGGTAGGCATATCCCTTGAACCTTATACAGGTCACCCACCTTTCTACCTCAGTTCCAATCTATGAAGTAAAGAAAATCATGGTCACCTTTCCCATTTTCAAGAGATTATTATGGTCCCACAGCATGGCAAGCCTTAAAAGTACCACCCATGTAGGCCCTCTCTGTTCTTGCTGACTTGGGAGGGAGCGTGGTCCCCATGGCCAGGAGTGTGGCCCAGTTAACGCTCTTGCTCTGCTACAGCATTCTCATGGCTGGAATCCTGCCCTTCGGCGCCATGTTCATCGAATTGTTTTTCATCTTCAGTGTGAGTACTGCTGGCTGTCCCTCCCTCTTCACATGCAGCCTTGCCCTACCAGCCAGGTCTCTTGCCCTCACTGTTTCTTGCTGCCTGTGAAACTGCAGAAGCCCCATCTTCACCCCAAAGTCTGATAACAGTCCTGCCTGTCAGGAGAGTTGGGAGAGGTAATGGAAACTTGCCGTGTACAAGGCTCTGATGCACAGAAAGGGCTCAACACATGGATCCTGCTTCAGGGATTCTACAGTCACTTGCCACTATGGTTGATAGCATTGTGCCTCTGCTTCCATTTCCGGGTCCCTTTCCTCTTCACCTGCCAACATTACCTAAAACTAGAGGCAAATAGGAGAAAGGACCCCAGTTGTCAGTATCATTGTGAGGCTAGAACAAACTTAAAGGTGCTTGGCATTCAAGAAATGCTATTACTGTGATGATGAGCACTCCTGTCTCGAAGGGCCAACATGAAAGATGGCAGGAGGGCTCTAGAGCCCTGTAAGTGGCTGACTTAGCTGCCCAGTGCAACGATGCCATGCCCCAAGTAGAACGCTGCAAGTGCCTGCTATTCCAAGAGAGTGGTCCTTCCCCTCTCTGCTAAGAGCCCTGTCTACCTAAGCCTCCCTAGGACAGCCACAAAGGATGAGTTCGCTGCCCTCTCTCTGGTATCTGTGGGACCCTGGTCCAAGCACCAGAGCCTTGACTTCCTCAGCTATAAAAGGCCAAGCTTAACCGGGCATGGTGGCACACGCCTGTAGTCCCAGCACTTGGGAGGCAGAGGCAGGCAGATCTCTGTGAGTTCAAGGCCAGCCTGGTCTACATAGTGAGTTCCAGGATAGCTGGGGCTACAGGGAGACCCTGCTTCAAAAAGACAAAACAAAAAAGGTCAGGCTTGCATATAGAGATGAATAGAAATGATATAACATAGCACCTAGCCTGGGGTAAGCTGCACCCTAAGGGGCAGTGGCTGCTGTATAATTTTGTTTGAAGCAGGAATTATTATTTCCTACATGCTGCCAAGTTCAGGTGGGGTACCTATCCACTGCTCAATCAACTGTGCCAACCTCTCCTTAAGAAGAACCTGGTTTCACCCCTTTTCCAGAGAGTAGAGGCCAGTCAGAGCCCCATGCCAGGTCCACAGGCCTTGATGGTATTATGGTGGTGTCATGGTAGAAGTGGAGCTGAGAAAAGGCAGGCCAGCTGAAAGTTAGCTCTGGTGTTTCCACAGGCAATCTGGGAGAACCAGTTCTATTACCTCTTTGGTTTCCTGTTCCTCGTTTTCATCATCCTGGTAGTGTCCTGTTCACAAATCAGCATCGTCATGGTGTACTTCCAGCTATGTGCAGAGGTGAGGGGAGTGGGCCTTCAGGCAGGGGTGAGATGGGACAGATCCAACATTGACCATTTCAGTGTGGCTGTGCAGACAGGCTGAATAGCCTACATGGGGTGCTGCCTCAGGCTGAGTCTTGCTCCTCTCCCCAAGATGTTATTCAGCTGTACCCTGGAGTTCATGATGCCTGCATGGCTGTGTGAGGTACACAGTTCAATGAAGGTGTACAGTTCAATGAAGACCAGTAGAATTATCAGTACGAATTTAGTCCAGGGATAAATTTTTCAAGTGGCAAGTATAGATTGGTAGCCTGCTTCACTATAGGAGTTGGTCCTGCAGAGTGGGTAGGCCAGGGCAGAGTGACTGCCAGCTGGACTGGAATCCAGCTCCTCCACTGCGAGCTGTAGCTCTGAACAGCCTCTTGCCTGCCGTTGCTCCTCATCCTTGAGGTTGTAGTAAAAGACCTAACTTGGAGGCTACCACAAGTTCTTGACTGAGTGGTTCCTACTGTGACGTAGAACAGTTCCTGACCCTTGGGAAGCTTTTGCACAAGTGAAGTTATTCATTAATATTTTTTCTGTTGATCTTTTTAGAAGTTGAGATATGATTTATCAGCAGTAAAGACCTATTTTAATTGCAGTTCTATAGTTTTAAAGAAATCCAGTTTTAACTACCATCACAGTCAAAATATAAAACATTTTCATCACCCAAATATTATTTTTCTTACCCAGAGTCTTGAGCCCCTCAGGCAACCCTGAGATTTGAATGGGAAGGTGCCCTGGAGACTTCCATGACCCTTCCTGTGTTTCCTCCTTAGGATTACCGCTGGTGGTGGAGGAATTTCCTTGTTTCTGGAGGATCTGCATTCTACGTCCTGGTTTATGCCATCTTTTATTTCGTTAACAAGGTACCACCCTCCTTGACATCCCCCCTTGGGCAGGATGGTGGGGAGGAGAACGTTAAGAGGATGTTAAGAGGAACCCTAGTTTCTCAATTGTACTTTCTCAAGCACAGAGAGGACCAGAGCCATTTAGAACTGTGTTCTGTATGTTGGGAGGCTGAGACTAGAGGGTTGCAAGTTCAAGGCCAGCCTAAGGTATATCACAAGACCATCTCAGAAAGTCACCTGCAGTGCTTCTCCTAGGAAGACTGACACAGTATTCACCTCAAGAAATAGAAAAAGGGCTGGAGAGATGGCTCTGTGGTTAAGAACACTGACTGCTCTTGCAGGGGACCTGGGATTCCCAGCACCCACATGGTGGCTAACAACCGCCTATAACTCCAGTTCCAGGGGAATCTGACACCTTCTTTTGACCTCCGTGGGCATTGCACGACACAGGTGCACTTGCAGTCATGCAAGAAATGCACTCATTCACATAAAATTAAAAAATAATAAAATATTTTTTTAAAAAAAGAAATAGAAAAAGGACAATAACATAAAGGTAAAAGCAGGGCTGGGGAGGTAGCTCAGTCCATAAGGTACTTAACAACGCAAGTAGGAAGACCTGAGTTTGATGCCCCAGAGCCCACATAAAATGCTGGGCATGGCAGTATGCACCTGTAATCCCAGCACTGGGGAGGTGGAGACAGGAAGATCCCTGGGAGTTACGAGTCAGCCAACTTAGTCTGTTTGGTGAGCTCCAGGTTTAGTGAGAGAACCTGTCAAATAAGGTGCTGAGCAATCAAGGAAGACACCCAGTGTTGACCTCTGGTTTCCACACCCATGTGCACTCACGTGCACACACACAAACAAAGATAAAAGAATGTGTTCATACAGCCTTTGGAAACCACATTTAAGACTCAGGCATCCTGTCTCTGGGGCTTCATTCTCTTCTTTACTCAAGTACTGTTTGGTTCTGCAGAGCAGAGAGAGAATGAGCTGGGGCTGGGTCTATGTCTTGGCAGCCTCCTTGCTCCACAAACTCATGCAGATTAAGTGTAGACTTGTAATAAGCAAGACTCTGGCTTACCAACTAGGGAAAACCAGATGGGCCAGTTTGAGGAGTTGAGGGAGGCTTTGGTGGATACTTCACCTCCAAGGCTAACACAGAAGACTTGATCTCATCTACTCTACTTTGGGTCTCCAAAGTCCAAAAGCAAGCAATCCTCTACCTGCACCCAGGGTGTATTTGCAAAGTTCGAGTTGTAGGTTCATTGGTTGAAACGTAGAATGCCCTTTCCCAGGTTGGAAAGGACTTCACAGATCGCATAATACGGTGTTCCAGTCCTGCTTTAGCAGGGTGGCATTGTCCCTCTTCAGCAACCCCAGAGATGATCACATCTGCTTCAGAGGTCAGGAGACTAGCTTACAGGCCAATAGACCTTAACTTAAAATTTTATTGGAACATACCCGATGTCATTCACTTACATAAGTCACCTGTGGCTGCTTTTCCACTGTAGCAACTATTGAATAGTTGCAACAGAGAACGCATGAACTATAAAAATCTTAAATTTTTATTTTTTATTTTTTGGTTTGCTTTTTTTTTTGAACATGACCATTTTAATTCTTTTTTGTTTTTTGTGAGTTTTTTTTTTTGTGTCTTTTTGAGACAGGGTCCCCCTGTAGCCCAAGCTGTCCTGGAACTCATTATGTAGACCAGGCTGACCTCGAACTCACAAAGATCCGCCTGCCTCTGCCTCCCAAGTGCTGGGATTAAAGGCATGCGCCACCACGCCTGGCTTGTGTTTTGTTTTATCTAGCCCTTAAGACAATAGACAAGAATATTTACATGAGAGATGTCAGGGACTTGTAGGGAACCCACAAATGTTGCCTTCACCCTTAGGCTTAGGAGAAGGTCTTAGACGGGGACCTAGATTTCATTTTGTTTTTTTTTTGTTTGTTTGTTTGAGACAGGGTCTCACTGCTTAGCCCTGACTGACCTGAAATTCAGATTTGCCTGCCTCTGCCTTCCAAATGCTGGGATTAAGGGTATGTGCTATCATACCCAGCTGGTTTTTTTCTTTATTATTTTCTTCTGGGCTTGTGACATTTAGTGACCATGTATCTGTCCATGATCCCTAGAACAGGCCCCCCGAGGGCCTGGTGCACTGGACAGTCTTGATGCCAAGATTTCAGTAAGCTTCGTTCTCTTCCACCAACAAACATCACAATGCCAATCCCTTGCATTTCTGCCTAGGCCTCTACTCCAGACTCTTACCTCAGTCACAAAAGAGTCTAACACACTCCAAGGTGAAAAGCCGTTTGAGCTTTTAGAGACATTCTCGGGGGAGAGGAATGTAGACTGAGGCATACTGATGATGGCTCCCTGGTCCTTAAGCTGGGAGCAGTGGAAACCTCCGCCCACTGCCTCCCTTCGGACTCTCCTGATGCTTGCTCTAGCCACCCAGGAGTGTTTTGGTGCTGTTCTGGAACTGACCTCAGGGGCCAGGGATAAGAGGTCCAAGGCACAACTCTGGCCCTGGTACAGATGAAGGTTAGCCGTAACTGTGAACCCTTCCCCTTGCCAGATACCAGTTTTACCACAAGATTTGGGTGGGGGGAGCCCCAGTTTGCCATAACTACCTAGCACTAAACATCTGTTCCTCTTCTCTGTCTTTCCCAGCTGGACATTGTCGAGTTCATCCCCTCTCTTCTCTACTTTGGCTACACAGCCCTCATGGTCTTATCCTTCTGGCTGCTCACGGGTACCATTGGCTTCTATGCAGCCTACATGTTTGTCCGCAAGATCTATGCCGCTGTGAAGATAGACTGAGTGGGTGGACCATGGCCAGACCCACTCCATCCTTGGACAGGAAGCCACCTGCACAGGGAACTGCAGGCACAATAAAGTAACTCCTGCTCATTTGGAATGTAACTCCTGGCACAGTGTTCCTAGATCCCCAGGCTTCGAGGAGGGGCAGGAGGGCCTGTAGATAAACCTTGCGTTTTCCTTCATCTTATTCCAGGTCTATAAGGAATGAGGGGTTTTTGTGGTTTGTTTGGGTTTTTTTTGTTGTTGTTTTTTTCTTCAATACTAAGAAAGATTCCTCTAGCAGGAGCTGTCTAAACCTGTTAATTCAGGTTTATTTTTCGTTTGGGTTTTTTATTTGGTTTTTAAACAAATGGATCCAGAATGGATAAATGCTGGGTTTTGGTCACTGTCTCCACATCAGCTCCTCAGAGCTGTTGGCCACCCTACCACTGACTGGAAGAGAGAATACCAGGGCTGTAGTGAGGGTTCCGAGCCCTCATTGCATGCCCTCACCACCGATGCTACAACGCAGCACAGCTCCAGCCCAGACAGCAGCCTCAGTGCCAACCAGCTTCTGCTGGCCCCTCTCCCTCCCATTCTCTTCCCCAGCCTGTCCTCTGGGCTGCCCAAGACAGGGCTTCCAGCCAAGCTGTTGTCATCATTTCACTGGGAGCAAGCCCAAGCCATGGTCACTACAAGGAAGTTACCTGGACGTACCAGCATTGGGCTCCCAGGACAGCAAGAATTGCCCCCCTCATCAGGGCAGCTAGTTTGCTGACCAACAAGGAGGAAGAGATGAGACCAGCAGTGAACTGTTCTCGTGCCAAGAACACTGGACCCAGGGCCAAGTGTTTTCAGAGCCAAGCATCTGTGTATGTCTTGGAAGAGGTAGCTAAGGCCACTAGGGTGCTTACCCCTCAAGATTGCTCCCCAGTTCTTTCCTCAGGAGGTGCCACTGAGGAAGTATGCTGGTGGTGTATCTTCTCTTCCCTCACTTTCAGGCCTGGAGTCCTCAGAGCCCCTCCTTGAAGAGGCTGGGCAGAGGCATTCTCTCCTGTGTCCCCTGGCCTCAACATTTATACTCAGTTCTTTTTAGCCAGACCCGTCCCCTCTCCCTCCCGTGCAATTTCTTTTGGGGACACCCAGAAAACTGCTCTGAGAAGGAAGATGGAAGGTAAGTTTAATTGGTCCCTCCCCAGTTCCCAGCAATAGGCAAGAAACCCAGTCTCCCCATTTTGGAAGGAGGCTTACATTCCTAGCCTTGCTCCTCCAAAGCCCCCGTTCTTCCTAGAAGGTAGCCCTGCCTATCCTGTGCAAGTCACAGACATTGCTCTTAAGTTGCAAGACCAAATCCACCCTGGGTTTAGGATTCAATTACAGACACTCACCCCTGCTCCAGTCCTTTGGGACACTGCCAGGAGATAAAGCTCAGGATGCTGGTTATGCTAGGAACACACCCTGCCCCCCTCGGGCCCTGCTACCACCATCAATCAAGTCGGTGAACCTCTCAGTCTTGCCTCACAGTGACTCCACAGCACCAAGTATGTCCACCAAGAATCAGGCTGGAGAAAAGGGAGCCCAAAGAGTAGAAAGTGATTTCGGAGTTACTTCATTCAAATTTTGCATTTTTGCCCCCTGAGGTTCTCTCTTTTGGGGGGGGGGAGTTGGGGGAAGGTTCAAACATCATCGATTTTTCTGACTTTTTAAATCACCACCATTATTTTTAATTAAGAAATGCCTATATGCCTTTTTTTGGTCCAATTGTAAATAAAATTGCCATTGTCCTGTCACTGTCTTGAATTATGATACAGGTGTGGGGTTTGGAGTGGGGCGCTTTGCCAGATTGGTTGAGTGGTTATTGTCGAAGTTCAGTCTCCTGTCCGGTTCTCTAGGGTTCAGACCACTGCTGTTCCCTGCTGCTTCAAGCCAGCCTTTCCCTGCTGCTCAGCCCTTCCATACCCAATCACAAGCATGTGCCCCTCTGAATAAGCAGAAAGTGGCAACAAGTGTGAACTTGGACAGCAATGAAACCTGCTTTGGGAGTCACAGCTCTTCACCCTTGGTCAGGCAGGACTCCAAAGCAATAGAGATGCAGGCCTAGACATGGTGTCACATGAAGCCAGCCAAGTCTACATAGCAAGCTCTAAGCCAGCCAGGGCTACATAAGGAGACCCTGTCACAAGAAAAGAGAAAGGGCTGGAGAGATGTCTCAGTAGTTAAGAGTACTTGCTACACTTTCAGAGGACCCGGATTCAGTTTCCAGCACCCATAGCCAGATGTTTGCTGATGTCTGTGACTCCAGTTGAGAGGATCCAATGTGGGCACCTGCAAGCATGTGGTGCACATAAACTCATGCAGGCATACACACATCCATAAATAAATCTTAAATACAGGGCAAGGGGCCAAGTATATAGCTCAGTGTTTGTTAAGAGTACATGATTAACATGCACGAGACCCCAAGTTCCATCTCCACCACCAAAAGAAATCTATGTCAAACTGGGGTAACAGATTCTGATTGGTGTGTAAGTCATCAAGGACAGTTTCGCTTCAGATCTGGCTGAATCCAGGGGTGCAAATAATAACCTTAGGACTGTCCCTACTGTGCTTCTCTCTGGCCTCATTTGGTCCCATTTTGAACTGTCTTCCCTAGAAGGGAGGCAGGAAGACATGGAACAGACCATTCCAGGCTTACATTATCCAGTTTGGTATGCCCAGAAGTGGAGAAAAGTCAGCTCCTTCCTTACTTCCTTGTAGTTGGTAGGTATGATTTCAATACAGAAGTCTAAAGAAAGAACTCTGACCTAGCTTAGGTTTGTATATGTTGTACTTAGCACTGTATCCAGAAGGAGAGAATGCTATTGTAGGCCACACTCCCCAAGGAGTGCTGTGAATTTCAGCCCTGCTAGAATGGCTTGGATGGGGTGAGGAGGAAAGGACAGTTTTCCAATGCAAGAAAGGCAAAATGAAAACAATTTCCTGTGAGACCACATACTTCCAAGCCAGGTTCCTCTGCAGTAGAAAGAGCTGATGACCATGTGGAGTGCTCTGAGCATCAGATCCTACTCTGTGCTTACTTTCTGTGAGCTGGTCCATTTAATGTTGCATGTGATCTAAACATAACTTGCCTCTGAGGCAGGCTGACTATTATTAACCCCTCCTACAGAGAAAGTAACTGAGGTACCAAAGCAGCCCAGGTAACCTTTGTGCCTATACTGTCAATCTTTTCTCAAATGTTAGCATCATTTTCTATGCCCCTCACCCTTCATCCTAATGAGTGTAGCCATTCCAACAAGTGTACAGGCGTTTCTAACTATGATCTTCATTTGTCTGTCATCCACATGTCTTCTTTGATCCAATCAAATCTCTTGCCCTTTTTTGGTAGGCTGCTTTTGATTTTTTAAGTTTTCACAATTTTTAAAAAACTTTTAAAAATTTTTATTTATTATTTTTATTTTATGTGTATGCGTGTATTGCCTGCATGTAGGTAAGTGCACCCATGTCATGCAATGCCCACGGAGGTCAGAAGAAGCTGTTGGATCCCCTGGGACTGGAGTTACAGACAGTTGTTAGCTGCCATGTGGGTGCTGGGATTCAAACCCAGGTCATCTGCAAGAACAACCAGTGTTCTTAACCGCTGAGCCATCGCTCCAGGCCAGATGTGGTGGCATACATCTTTAATCCCAACACTCAGGAGGCAGAGGCAGTAGATCGCTGTGAGTTCAAGGCCAGCCTGGTCTACACAGTGAGTTCCAGGCCAGCTGGGGCTACAGGGAGACCCTGTCCCAAAATGATTTAAAAACAAAACAAAAAAAACCAGAGGGTATCACCATGTAACTGCTTGACCTGAAACTTGTTATGTAGATTAGGCTGACCTTGAACTCAGAGCTCCACCTGCCTCTACCTACCAAGCTCAGGGTTAAAGGCCTATGCCATGCTATATTCCTTCTTATATATGTCAAAATTCACACTGAATGAGCTCAGGGCTGCAATGGGGACTTATTTTTACACATGTCCAAAAGTCTTTGTCCACAAGTTACACAAATGCTAAGAGGGTTGAACTGTTGAAATCAGTTTATCTAGTGGTTCTTATTGGTTCTAATTTTGATATCTAATATATCTTTGCCTAACTTCTTTCAGAAGTTTTATAGTTCCAGGTTTTGCACTTAGGTCTATAATCCATTTGGAGGAAGTCTTATTAATGGTATAAGGTAATGACTTCAAGTCACAGCCCGCTAGAATCCCCTGGTAACACATGCTGCACTGAAGTTAACAGAAAAACACCTCCCACTCTTCATTATAAATATTGGTGTGACAGCCTCAGTTATTTCCCCTCTTCCACTTGCCACTGGGACCAAGAACAAAATACAATTGGAAATCATTTAATGTGCTAATGAAGAATGGTTCCTTCCCAGGGTGGACTCAGAGGGTACCCACCTTGTTCTCCAACCAGGAGCTTCACACACATGCAGGCTTCTGTAGAGATCAAAACTGACACCTTTTAAACCTATTCTGTGACATACACACACCCCCAATATCCCTACCTGATAACATTACAAGCTTATGTTTTAAATTAGTAAAAGTGCTACAATGAAAGAGTTCAAAGGACATTAGGTCACTGGGCTCCCTGTGGGAGAGACCAGGCCACAGAGCTGAAGCCACAGGGACTTAAAGCTGAGCCTGCCAGATTAACTTGAATCGCCTCACCTGCAATGACTGCTTCATCTTCCAAATCTCCACGGTGCTAAAACCAGCTTCAGCAACCACAGAACTGCTTTAACAAGACACCAGGAGCTCTGTACAGAACTTGCCTGGAAGATGGTTCCAGCTGACAGGCCCTGTATTAGTTACTTTTCTGTTGCTATGATAAAGCACCGCAACTAAGGGAACTTATAAAAGAGTTTATTTGAACTTACGGTTCCAGAGGAATCAGAATCCATTACGGTGGGGCATGGTGGCATGAGGTAGAACAGAAAGATAAGCGGTCACATCTTCAAGCAGCCACAGGAAGCAGAGCATGACTGGAGATCTGGCAAGGCTTAAGCACTCTCTAAGCTCGCCCACAGTGACACCAAAGATCTCCCAAAACAGTGCCACCAACTGGGGACAAAATGCCCCAAAACTTGGAGACTATGGGGGACACTCTCATTCAAACCACCACAGACCCCAAGCTCATTTACACCTGGGCATCTACTTAGTTGTTCCATTGCTCTTTGTTGCCTTTGTGCCTTTAATTAAGGTTCCTGCTGACCAGGGTACTAAGTGCATAGCACCCCACAGCAGAACCATGTGGGTTGAACTGAAGATCAGCCATTTGCACAAAGAGAATTATGGGCAAAACTGGCAGAAGTCTAGCTGGTCCATGGCATCCAGGCAGGAAACAGGGATGAATGCTAGTGCTCAGAGTTCAGTCCAGGACCCCAGCCCATAAAATAATGCCACCCACATTCAAGTGGGTCTTCCCACCTCAATTAAGCTCATCTAGATAATCCCTGACATGTTGCCAAAGACTTGGCTCCTAGGGGAGTCTAGATCTGTCAAGTTGACAATCAGTGTTAACCATCACTGGCTTCTGATGAATCCTTAAATTGAAAGACTTCAAATCTTTTCTTACTGTTAGATTAACTGTACCATCCTACAAGTACTTGACCATGTGCTTGTTGAATGCTGAACTAAACTGTTTAGCATGATCTTGGGGGTGCCAGTCACAGTGCACAGGATGCTGGTCAGCAAGGCTGGGGTCTGCTTGCTCACTGACTGCTGGGTCAGCTCCCTGGTGAAACTGGTGTCATGGGCCACATGAAGTCAGAGACAAATCTCTGTTCTTGCCTTCTACTTTGTTAAGGCAGGGTCTGTTGCCTCTATGGCCGCACTGCATACTCCAGGCTAGCTAGCCTCAAGCTTCCAGGTCATTCTCCTGTCTTAGTTTCCCATCTCACCTTGGGAGTGCTGGGATTATAGATGGGAGCCACTGCATCTGCCTTTTTTTTTTTTTCTTTTTTTGAGAAAAGGTCTCCCAGTAGCCCCAGCTGGCCTGGAACTCACTATGTAGACCAGGCTGGCCTTGAACTCACAAAGATCTGCCTGCCTCTGCCTCCCAAGTGCTGGGATTAAAGGCGTGTGCCACCACGCCTGGCTTGGATTTATTTTTTAACCACCACGCCTGGCTTGGATTTATTTTTTAATATTGATTATTTGAGAATTTCATACAATATATTTTGATCATATTCAGACCTCCTCCCGTTTCCACCTCCACCTTTTGTGTGTGTGTGTGTGTGTGTGTGTGTGTGTTAGTGTCTGTCTGTCTCCCTGTAGTCCTCGCTGACCTGAACTCACTATGTAGACTAGGCTGGCCTTGAACTCACAGCGATCTGCCTGCCTCTGCCTCCCGAGTGTCCGCCTCCATCTTAATACCCCCCTGACTTCATGTCCTTTATTATTATTTTTCTTTTTTTTAAAGGCCTAAGGCCTATCAGATCTAATTTGTGTTTTCACAAATGTCTTGGGTATGGGTACAACCTTGGAGCCTGGACAGTCTACCAGGCATCGTATTGTTATAGAAAACTGATTCTACCTCTTAGA